GACAATGAAACTGAATAAAAACTGCACAGGTATATTAATGTCCGGTTCCGCACGTAAGAAAAGTAAATGAGTGATTGAGTTGCAACCAGAATTAGCATTGCAATTTTCTTGCATTCTGGGTCTTCGTTTTGCGACATTGATTATTTCAAACATTTGACAACACGGATTGCAAAGATTGATCCCAACTATTTGCATTTTTTCAAATCGAAAACCATACTTCTGACGCTAATGATCATTGCAAGAGAGAGGAATTTTTCTTGAAGTCGTTGCCCTCCTGACATAGGGGCGTAACAACATTCTGCAATGAACCCTGTCGCCCATATAACTCAATGATTTCCCGGGCCCATCTCTCGGTGTAGATACGCTCTTTTGCCAGCCGGGAGACTAAGTGTCCACTTGAGCCCACACTAACCTGCTTCTTAATCGTGACATTTATCAATTCTCATTAAAAAGGTGTAGATACGTTGTGATACTATGTAAATTGGAAATTTCTTTAAAAGCCCATCTTCTAATAATATCAAGTCAAATTATGACCTTATATTAAAAAGCGTCGGGTAATTCTTTTTAATGTGAATTCTGAACTAACTCGAAGGATCAATAACCCTATTCTAGTCATAGTTCGACATATATATACGTGCAATAGTGAGAGGTTTCGTCTTGTTAGGTCCGCAGATTGCTGTATCTGTTTATACATGATAGGATCTGTAATGAAGAAAGTATAGAAAAACGTTTTCTCTAATTTACTTTTACTCGATATTTTATTTTTCCAGAAAGAACATAACCAAACATAGCAACTATAATTTACGTAAGAAATCTGAGCGCAAAAATTGAACTGTAGAATAAGTCTTGAGCTCAACCAGTCAATTTTTTTTTCGCGTCAAAAATTCAAAGTCAAATGGTAATATTTAGTATGTTAGAATTAGGGGTTGAAGTTTATTTAATGCAATAAATCTGAGAAAGGAATAAAACCTTACTTTTTTTTTCGTCCGATCCAATTTGTGATGTGTCCATTCATCTCTGTTGAATTTGACCCATACATCTTTCAGAATTACCGATCAATCCTCTTCAAAATGATAGTGTAACATCCCAATATGTTTATGAGCTGTTAAAGAAACGTAAATAAATATTAAGGTTAGGACTCTCCGTGGGAAATTGTGTTGGGAAAATTTATAATACTTTAAACATAATTGGGTCCATCGGCGCAAAAGAAGGCCGAGCGAGCTCCAGGCTCCGGTGTCATTGTCGTCTGTGGACATAAATATGGGCATTAATCTCAGATTACAGCATTTTTCGGACTTAATAAATAATTTAAGCCATTTCACGTCCAGAAAGCTAATTTGCGGGCAGGTGGAACACCGCGAGACTGTCACCTTTCGGAGAACCGCGCATCTAAGAACCCAGCCGCATATTTTTTGATAAAAGGGGGAATTGGACAAGCCAAACGTTTTTGACCAAATACGGAAGTCAATCGAAGCTATAATCTATCTTGGCGGCATGCCGGGGATAGGATGCTGGCGCGATCCAATCAAATATTATATCAAACCCAAAAACACTGGTTTTAAACTGAAGATACCTCTACATGGAAGCTTAAGTTGGACATGTGACATCGACAGGCAGTTGAATGAGTCTTGAGAGGAGTCGGATTTGAAATATCAACTCAAACTACAAATTTTGTTGTTCCTTTTGTCACATACGTGAGGCCTTACGAGATACTCAATGGAGCCACTTTTGAACTTCTCCGTTTTGTAATTATGAACATTTTTTGTAGTTTTCGACTTTAAACTGAGTCATTTTCGGTTGGAAATTACAATAAATATTTAAAAAAACGATGAAAAACCTGAGCCCCACATGGTGGTAGCCGGGATCTGAGAAAATTGATAATTGATTCTGATTGATTGAAATTTTTATTGTAATTTCCGACTGAAAATGACGTAGTTTTGAGTCGAAACGTCTCGGTTTCTTTTCATTGTGTATTTTAGCCTTCTTTCCCGTTTTCTCCTCTTGTTTTTTTATTGTTACCATTGTATCGGGCAGCTCTATAAAAATTTATATCTGTTATGTGATTACCGACTTACACCGTCATTACGTAACACTTGAAAGTACCCCGATCATGCGCGCGTCTTATTCGGGTAAAATTGTGCACGGTGAATTTGCAACGTCGCAAACTGAGGTACATGTTCCACTAGTTTCTTGATCGTGACGGTTTATTTTCATATGGTTCCGCATATTGATGAAATCGACTTCCCCAAATGCTTTTGTCTGCGGTCGTGACCTCACAAGGTCCTGTGCCTGCGCCATGCTGTGTTAATTGCCTTGCTCGTCAAGATTGCCCGCTGAAATCAACCCGCCTGTCACACTGAATCTGGCACTTTACGATCCCTCTCTCCTCCCCTTTTTTGCATATTTTGCATACTTAAGCGCCACGGAACCGCTAGCATTCAGATTTTTCAAATTCTGCTAAATGCTTTGGAATTGGTCGCGACCTATCAATAAACGCAGCTCCGTTACTGTGTTAAAAACAATGAATTTCAAGCAAAATGCATTTTGCGTACATTTCATGCGCTCACCCAGTATTGTATTGGATTACGTGGGAAAAACTTACATTCGCTTTTTATTGCAAAATGAGCAAAGCTATAATTTTTTATAGCTCCTCACTGAAGAAGATCGTAGATATGAAATTTCTTCAAGCACAGCCATAGAGTCAGTTCTTAGTGTAAATTTTTTTTCACAAAATTTAACGTAAAGCATATCAGGAATGTAGTTTGAAGATTTTTTTATAGCTTCTCCTTTGGCATTTGTGAAGAATATTTTTGAAACATTAAAAGAAGCATTGACTTCAGGTCCACAAAAAATATTAAACAACGAGATATATTCAGAGCGCGGGTTTTTACCATTAGGTCCGGGATTTATATTTTTCAAAAAGTTTCGGTACAGTTCAAAGAGGTGCATAAAAATCTCATAGATCTCGGCGATTCACAAATCCGTAATCAAATTTGTGAGGGAATTATTGATTTATTTTTATTTCTGGCCTATTATTTCACCTGGGTCCGTAAACCGGCTTGCAAATGAGTTCACTGATACTTTACAGTACCAAATCTCGGAACAAGTTAACTAGTTTGAAACTCAATATTGGTGTTACGCCTGACATATTTATAAAGAAGTCTCTCCTCTTCCTCAGAGTTGTCTATTGATCTATGATAATTTTTTGCTAAAGCGCGATTAGCTACGCTAGCGGGAGGTTGGTGGTGACCTGTTTTAGTGGGAGTTCTTTTGAATTGATTTAGCTATAATTAATGTCTTCTTTTTCTATCCGTCCACTGTGGTTTTCTATCTCCCCCGGGCGGGCGGAGATAGATTTTAAAGATGTTAATATCGATACATTCAAATTAAAGTCCTTTAAAAAGGGTACATCAACGTCATTTTTGGATCCTATTCGATTCGATATGGTCGACGTCTGTTCGAAAGAATAACAGTAATACTATGTTGGCCAAACGCAATTGAACTCAGCTTATCTCCTTCAGTACAACTCTCTGCCTTATGAAGATTGTTCAGAATATTTTATTAGAGGCTTTTGAAAGTAGAGGAGAATCTTATGTCACCGACTCATGGGAACGGCTAGGTAAGGTCTGACTAGAAAAACCCAACAATTAATGCAGTAAGTTTTTGGTTTGTTATGCCATTGTGCACTCCTACAGTAGTTTGATATGCACACTGAGAAAGAACCAACTATTTCTCTTTACCCGTAGGCATTCCCGAATTGAACTATTTTTTTTTTTTTTTTTAAATTTATTAGAAAAAAATCAAATTGACAAAGAGAGCACTTAAAGTCGAGAATGGACAGTTGATGGAATTATGAAGTGTTTTTCCACCAGAAAAAATGCAAATAATGCAACATTTATTTTCTCGATCAGGCAACCACTCTATCACGCTGAAGAAAAATGCCGTTTTTGAATCATCAAAAATTTCTTCCAATTATTTATTTATATTTTGAGAAAAGATTGGGATAAATTTCCTTGAAATTTTGAAGTACGATTAATTGATGAGCGAATAAAATTCCCTGAAATAATTAAAGACAAATATTCACGGATGTCTCAGAAATTAGTATTTTATCGGATTAAATTTGGCAAAATCCAAATTTGTATACGGCGTTTTTCCTAGCTTGTTCCGTCAACCGAATTCAAAACGTATAATCAGGCTGCTGTAAATAATTCGCTGATTTTCCGCACGAGCACTTACTGGAGCTGGGAGAACTTCCCCGAAAATCCTCGTTAAGAACAAGTCCCATTAAGGGATTAGTTGAGGTGACAAGACATGGCTGATTCCTAACAGATTTGAATTGTTTTTTGTCGTCTTTTAGTTTTCTATCTCCATCTTCTCTCAGCTTATCAATAAAACAGAACCGTCAGTCAAACAGGATACGGAACTACACCGTAACATAACGATGGCCAAAGTGCGAAAACACGTATCTCCATTGCGATGTCACACCATTTCCGTTCCTGTCTTATTTTTTTATTTTTTTTTTTTGAAGAGGTTGAAGCCAACTTAATGGCCTAAAATGTGTATGGAATATATTCTGCTGATGGAGGAAAAATCAAGGGAGTTTTCAAGAAATTACTTCGCCTAGTTTTCCGAAGGAAAAATAAAGTAAGACGGGAAGTCTGCAACGGAGATACGTAGTTTCGCACCATGGCCATCGATATATCTCCACAAAAAAATTTCCCCTTAGAACATGATAATTGAAAAATGATCAGTCAACAAAAGTCACAACTCAAAACTCAAGTCACATAATAATGAGAAATCAGCGTTTTCGTGATCGGTAGAATTCGAATTTCCCATTTGTCAGAAAATGGAATTTTATTCATTTTCAATCAATTACTACCTAGCTAAATTTAGTGTTTTTAAGATAAAATAAAGTTTGCATCGTGCTGAATCTTCCAAGTTGCTCAATTTACTTACAAATATGTAAGTTTCTAACATCAACGTTCTTCTTTCTGTTTCAGTTCAAAATGATTATCTGTGATAAGTGGATTAAGTCGTCTATAACATGTTTATGGATCCTATATATTCAGGTATGCTACTGCATGTGTATCTAACTTTAAGCCTCTTGTTTTTTGTTTTTGTTTTTATTTTTTTCGTTATCCATACAGGTTGCTCTAAGTTTATGAACACTTGTTTTTCATACTGTATTCAAACTACAAAATTCAGTAAAGGATCAGATAGGCCAAAGAGATAACACGGTAATCATATGTTTCATTGATGCTAATTTGTTGACCAAAATATGGCGAATTAAGGTAACCAAATGATGCATTGTAGAAGTTGCTTAAATCAATTATTAATCGATAAGTTTTTTTTTTTGCTGCCGAACAAAACAAAAAAATGTTTAAATTTGAAAATAATGCCAAACAATTCATAAAAGAAAGTTTAGTCCAATGATGCCGTCCATGATTTTCTTTTCTCGCAGGAAAATGATAAAATACACTTTTGTTCAGAAAAACAATACCATCATAACCGAGGGTAAGATGAGTCCCTCGGCCTTGTACAAACTTGCAACGACGTAAATCGTCGTGTTAACAAATTACCTTTGTTTCAGTTCTGAGCATCAAAAGAGCGAGAGCCGAATCGACGTGATTTGACGTTAAAGGACTCAAATCGATCAAGAATTTGTAATAATCCAATTACCGAATATTTAGCGATATTTTGCCGTGCACGTATATTACTTCAAAAACTTGCGTCAATCGCGGAACAAGTGGACGAAATATGGAATTATATCCAAGAGGAAAAAGGTCAGGTTCACAGCAGGGAGTCGCACGTTTGCCACCTGATTAATCAGTCTTGATCGCCATGTAATACGATTCGAATTTTTGACCTAATATAAAATGTGACTGAACGTATTGCGTGAATGAGTTCTCATATAATGAGAGAAGAGTAAATCTTTGGGTGTAACAGAAATATCTTCACGAGCAGAACTAGGGTGTAGCCGGAGGGGGAGCTTAACCCATGATTCTAAATAACCCCTTATTTTTTTTAAAAAAAATGCGTTGCATTTCCTATCATCTTGGCAAATTATATTTAAATAGATTCGCCGGCGAGAAAATCTCCATTTTTCTCTGGAGGCGTCTCAATTTTCTTAGGCCCCCCAGATCCCTCTCAAAACTTAAATTGTGCCCCCAAAACCTCCTCGTTGGGGTGCTCTCCTTTGACCTCCAAACTACTTTGATGAAGTGCCCCTACAAAAATCCCCGGTACTATAATGCTGATCAACGATTCAAGAATTCACTCACTGTAGAAGAGTATAGTGAGCTTAGGTCAGGAAAAATGAGAGAAAATTTATGGAGAGTTAAACGCTCGGGCAAGAAAATAGCTGATATATAAAAGCAAAATCATAACACTAAAATATAACAAATTATAAAGTAAATCAATTGATCAAGTCGCACACATATTAATCTTGCTTCATGATCACGGTTATCAACTTGACCAAAAAAAGTCAGTAGCTGAAAAATGCATTTTTAACTTATGAAATAATCTCATTTCTCAAGTATAATGAGGTCCCTGACCACCTGAATCTCGTATTTTGTCATAGTCCGTTCTACTATTCTAATAGGCTGCTCTCCATGAATTTTGCCGCTGTCGTCAGACAATAATTGTCTCCAGAAGATCTACTGGATCGATTTTTATGATTCTTGTGGCTATCGATAGGAGATAGTCCCCAGATGAACCAGCTCTATTTAGAACAATTCATGAAGGGTTTTCAGAGGTTTAGGCCTCGCTGCGACCAGGGGGTATTTCCTCTAGTTTATGAATAGATGAATAAGCATTTTAAGACTTTTCTTTCACAAGGATAAAATAATAAAACATTTCATTGATGATCAGGTTGTTTTTATGCATCCTCATATCCATCCATCTGCAGTGGCGCCAATCGAAGAGCAAAATGTGTCATTTAAAAGTATCAATATGGTTTTAAAATCCTATCTTATTACTGCACCGGTCTCCTAGCTATCACTTGCTCATCAAACTCCTAGACATCCGCTTCGACAACGGAAAAAATAAGCTGTAGAATTTACGAGTTTATTTTCACCACCTGTCGCGCAACGATTCGATAAAAAAATAACGCGGAACATTTTTCTTGTTACACTACTGGCGGTTGGATCGAAACCACACCCTCGCTATCAGAGTTTTTACAACGGCGAAATGGCCACCGGAATGGACTCGATATCCAATAATGAGGTAAAATCGATCGCCATTTATCAATATCGACAGTCGCAAGTTCAGTGCCGAGCAACCAGTCGTGTTGCCGCGCCACTTTGTGTGTGCTGAACTGAAATTCAGCCGCCGAGGCGATTAGTCTCTTCGACGCGTGAACGTTGCGCAAATCGTGAGCAAGGAATCAATCACGTCAAAACAGGATGCACTCGCTGATGAAAGTTTTTTTTGCTACTATTTTTTTCCCAATAAAAGAATAAGGGTCTTTTGCCACAGTTTGATGCCGACGACGCGATACTCATAAGCCTCCAAGTTGTCATTATTTATGCAAAGAATCCATTAGTCAATGGCATAAAATTGTTTAATCATACTCAAATTTTACTCTCATACACCTCCATCAGCATACAAGAATATCCAGCATATTAAGTGCAATAGACCAATAGGGTATTGATAATATTATGCAACAAAAATGAGGAGCAAGCTGATTTTCATACTAGTTCGATTGAGTATTTTTACAAAATTTCTCGCCGTTTCTATCCTGTGGACAATTTTGCTAGCTTCATTCAAAGTTAAAAAATCTCCAGATGAACAATCTTTCATAACTTGGTCCCAAATATTAACTTCAATGTGTGTTAGTTGGGAAAAATTTAGTTTGATGATTTCTCTGTGAATATCACTCTGATAAAAATGTTTCCCACGAAAAATGTATTACATCATCCGTCAAAACCATTGTATCTGTGAAATATTTCAACAGCGTACTATCGATTTTTTCCCTTGACGATGATGATTGTTGAATGCTCTTTTAAACGCTTGGAAACTTCGACCGACCTCATTCTAAAAAAAAAAAAAAAAAAAAAAAGGTTACTCCACCTATCTTAAATTAAATAAAAACTATCATAAGCTCCTATGAAAAATAGTTTATACTCGGAAAACCCGTTGTATATAGTGCTGAACTTCTGAAATGTTTTTACCCCAAGAAAACTAGAATATTGTAGGTAAATATCTGAATGATTTAATCGTTAAGGCATTAGCTCCAATGCACAATTTTCAATTACTTTTAATTGCAACTGTATCTGTATAAGTCAAATTTAAAGGATAGTTACATCAAATTTTCATCCTTCTTCTCTCTATGCTAATTTTGTACAAATGGCATAGCTTTATACACACATATGAGGCGCTTTTATAGCGCTCTTTGGCGCTTTACGACGCCTAATCGCCACAAAGCTCGGTCTTCCCACAGGTCATCAGGGAGTTGACACTCCCTCATCTCACTTAACACCCCCTGTCGCCAACCTCTCACTGGGCGTCCCCTACGTCTCTTCCCAGGAGGAACTCAATCAAGCATCTTTTTTGGCAGCCGCTCATCCGCGGCTACCATATATTTTATACCGTTCTGAAACCATCGATCGTATTGATATGAAAGTCATGATTTCAACCTTTAAAAAACATAAGCTCTACAAATTACAGTCCTAAGCCGACCTTAATCGTCCAGTGAAATTAAATATGCACTCAATGGACTATTATCGTAACAACCGTAGTTTACAAGCAAAAATTTGCCTCTTTAAAATACCTGACGGTGAAAAAACGGCGCAAACTTCCACGTGACGCCAATCCTATACTTATGCTGATCGACGTGAAATATTTCGAATTTTTTGGCACGAAACAATGTGTCTTGGTCATTTTTTCTAAAAGAAAACGAGTGACTCTTTTTGCTGCGGTGCAGGTTCTGATAACTAACCAAAGGAGCCCAAATAATTCGCGGACACTTAATTATGCCGATGGCATTTATTCAGTGTTTTCCTCAAAGTTGGACGAGAGTGGGCGGAGCATATTCGGCACCTGTGCTCTTAATTTCGCACATTTGGATTCAAATTAGGGCAAAAACGCTGCGATTCGAATGGACTCACCTATGCCGATCTCCCAGGGAGCGAATCAAGGGGAGATTTCCCCGCTGCTTTAATCTGATTGGCCCTCTAGATCCGGTGCCTCTTGCCGTAGAATTAATAAAACAGAGCCGAAAGCTAATAATTGGGCACCTCAATACTGCTGAGTCATTAAAGAGCGCGAACAGTTCCGGTCAATATGTTTTCAATCAAGTTTCTCTAACTTGACAAATCGAATACGGGTGAGCGGTTTTTTACGGTTTTTTTTAAAAAAATAGAAAAATTCGTCCTATTTGTATAAGGGGGAAAAAGGGAGTGACGAGAAAGCATGGGCGGATCCAGACACTTCGAACGAAGGGGGCGGAAAGGGGTGTCGGGGGTGTTTCCTCCTGAAAATTTTCAAGATTTTGAAGCATTTAATATGCAATGAGTCAATGTCTTTATAAATAATTACGTAATTTCTTCATTCTTATTTCCTCCTTTCCTTCCTTTTTCCTTTATTCTCTCTTTCTTCCTCCTTTTTTTGGGCAAACAGGGGGAGGGGGGCGGAGACGGGGACGCGTACGTCCCCGCTTGGATCCGCCTCGGCGAGAAAGCAGGAAATGCGCAATAACTGAGGTCATCGCAAATAAACCCGCATTTTCCTTTCGCAGGTTCCTTTGAAACAAAGGTCTCAAAAGTAATAATGATTCTCCAGTGTGATTTAGGCAAAAATAAAAAAAAATAACTATTTTCCTTTTTTGTCTCACAAAATGACTTTAGTTACAGAACGAGATGAAGAAAAATGTCTCCAAATAGGTGTTTTATTTTTAAAATCAAAACTTTCCTGAGGCAAGTGGATTCAGTCCGCCTTCGAAAAAGGCGTGCCGAGGGTTGGTGTCAACTTATGTAACCTAAGATGCTCTTTTTTTTCTCTTCTCTCTCACTCGATGAATAAATAGTAAATACATTTAATTGTGTCCTTGTTTCTAGAGTCCTGAAGTGCT